CGCCGGGGCCGAGGCTCGGCCGGGGGCTGCTCGGGCGGCGGCCGCCCGCCCGCCCGGGGGCCCGGCAGCCGCTGGGCCGTGGCGTGCAGCTGCAGCGAGAGGTAGGCGGCCGCCTCCGTCTGCTTCTGCAGCTCAGTGTCGAGGATGGTGACGCGGTGGCTCCGCCGCTTCAGCTCCTCCAGGAACCGGCGCTCCTTGCTGCGGAGGCTGGAGCGCAGCGCGGCCACCAGCGTCTCCTTGTGCTGCAGCTCCTTGCGCAGCTCCAGGTTGTCCTTCTCCTTCTCCTGCAGCTGGGCCTCCATCGCCCGGCACTTCTCCTCCAGCTCGCGGTCCAGGACGTCTGTGGGTCAAGGCACAGAGGGGTCAGGATGGGAGCACAGCTCCTGGCTGGACGTGGCTGCTGACCACTCCACCGTGCCAGCGTGTCCCAGCAGTGCCATTGAGGCTGCTTGGGTGCTTCTGGAAGTCGGGAAAAAGCCCCCTGTGAGCTGCCCGAGCTGCCAGCGCAGGCACAGGAGCCCCAGCACCGGCCCCTGGCACGGTGCCGTGTGTAACACCCAGTAAGGGGTGACAGCAAAAGGCAGCTTCAGTGGAGGATGCTGTTGCCATGGAACCTGCTGCCTCTACCTTGCTGCAGTTTTAAAATTTCCCTAGGTAAGTAGTTTTTCACCCTAAAGTGACTTTGAATGTGTGCAGAGGGTGTGGGGGAGCACACGGGCTGGAAGAGAAAAGGAAATGGTGCAGGGAAACCATCAGCCCAACTTTGGAGGGACTTTTGACCTCAAGCCCTGGGACTCCACAGCCTGGTTAGTCAGGATGGAGATGCTAATCCAAGATTACAGAGAAATTGGGCTGTGCTCAGCAGGGAAGGAGCCTCTATCCTGGGACAAGGGAGCGAGATCTGGGGAATGCTGTCCTGGGGCAGGATGGCCAGACAGCTTGGGGAATTCGCAGCTTGGGGTTCTGGGGCCAAGCCCAGTGGGCAGCAGGAGGGCTGAGGACTCGTGACCCCAGCCCTGGCTGCCTGCTCCAGCACCCAGCCCTTGGCAGGGTGCAGGCTGGCACCTGCCCGCGCTCCCTGGCCTGCCCAGGCCTGCTCCCATCCTCTGCAATAATCTGCTTTTTATTATGTGATTGGCAGCCACTTACAGCCTCAGCTCCTTAGTGTTTCTGCAGCTTTATAATGAGGTCTTAGGGAGGCAGTTGCAGGCAGTAATTATTGCATGAACGGCACTAGAAGAGCAATCATTTGATGGCATCGTAAATGAGGTGCTGCCCCGTAAATGTGGCAGAGTGATCGTGCAGCTCTGAAAGGCTGAAGGATGGGCAGGCACCGTGGATGGGACTCGCTGCGTTGTGGCTGGTGACACCCGCTGGGCTGGGCACCAGGCCCTCAGCCAGCACAGCCCTCGGGTGCACAGAAGGGACCCCCGGCTCCGAGGGAGGGGCTGGGAGTTTGGAATTGCCGTGGAGCCAGCCGTGGCACTGCGTGAGGGTGCCAAGGGCAGGACCCCGCCGGCCCCAGTGAGAGCAGCCCGCACCCACCCTGGCAGCGGCTGCCCTGGCACTGAGGACAGAGCACAGGCTGGGGCTTGGTGCCAGGGGCCGTGCCCAGGCAGCGCCAGGGAGTTTCAGTTTCATCTGTGGGCAGAGGAAGGAGGGGAGCCAGGCTGCTCACAGAGCAGCCTCTGCCGGGCGTCACCAGCAGGTACGGGGCTGGCAGCAGGCTGTGCACCCTGCCAGCCTGCCCTGCTGCCCCTCAGGCCAGGTCCCTGTGCCTCCCTGCCGGGCCCCTCTGGAGCAGGCTCTTCTGCACCCACACCTGCTCCCCCTCACCTTGTGCCCAAAGCTCTGCTCTTACCTTGTTGGCGGGCCTCCAGCTCTTTCATTTCCAGGTCGTGGGTGAGCTCTGGAAGAGAAATCCAACAGGACTGAGGAGGAGCATCCCACCCGTTCTGCGCTCCCCATGTCCCCTTTGGGGCACTGGACGTCACTGGGGCTGCAGTGCTGTCTCTGCCCAGCCTTCATGGGAGCGTGGCCATCTTGGAGCACCAGCCAAGGCTGAGCTAAAAATAGGCAATTCTGGCAATTTATGTGTTATTAAGCAGCCTCATGGCTGAGACATTGTCCACAGGATGCTCTGCTCCTCTGACAATGCCTTTCCTTTTTCTGAAAGAGTTGCTGAACCATTTTCAGTGCTGTAAACCAGGACAAAGAGCAGAGCAATGGATTGAAAATAGACCAAAGTGTAAGCTGCCACCCAAAGCATTTCATAATTTACTGCTCCAGGCTGATGCTGCCTCTGCACATGCCGAGAGCAGGGACAGCCTCGTCCCAGCACGATGTGCCTGCAGAAGGATGCTGCCCTGCTCTGGGGCAACGTGGAGCTTCCAAATCGCTCCCAAATCCCTTCCAAATCTCAGGAGCTGCAGCACCCACCTGCCTGCTCAGCCCCAGCGTGATGCCTCCTCTCTGCTGCCCTTTGCCTACTCGCTGTCTAGCCCCAGGCTGCAACACCAGGTCACAAAGGGACCTTCTGGAGTTCACTGTACCCTGCACTCTAACAGACAGTCCCTTTTGAATTAATTATCACATCCCACCCAACCACTAACAGCCCTGAGCAGAGGAAGAGAGTGGTAGCAGCAGCGCTCAGCTGTTTGGGGGCTATTTTTTCTCCTGAAAATGAGTTCAAATGGTTAATCTTTGCCCTACATTTTTCTTTTAATCTGCTTTTGTGTTGACTCTAATCCTCATCACTGCCATCCTTCTGAAACCGAACGCTTGTCTGAGGCTGCTCTGCCTGTCTGTCTGGGAAAACAAATCTGTAGTGAGGAGGCAGAAGTACCTGAGAGCGTAATGCAGTTTCTGGAAAGCGTTCAGCACTCTCGACTGCCCCGGTGGGAATCAATGGCCATTGTGCTATTTTTCTGAAGCTAAAATAATAGGTTTGGAGTCTCAGATATATTTCAAATGAAAACCAAAGCAGTTGCCTATTTCCAAAGACATCATCCTGCTGAGCAAGTGCGGGGATGATGCACAGCCCGGGGTCCCAGTTTCTGTGCTGGAGCCGGGGGGCTGGTGCTGATCTGCTTCAGCACCATCCCCATGAGCCCTGAGGGGCAGCTGAGAACCACCTCTGTGGGAGGGAGAGCCTTTCCCATAGGGATACCTCAGAGAGACCAAGGGGATAGTGAAAAAGTCAGAAACAGCAGTGCCAGGGCAGCAGGCAAGGCTCCACAGGGCCACACTGAGGAAAAACTGACTTAGAGACTCTCCTCTCCTCCTGCAAACAGCCCCCCAGATAATGACACTCAAATGTCAGGAAAGTCTCCTTAAAACTGCCCAGGGGTTGCCTGGCACTCCTGGCAGAAGCACACACCTCACCCAGGAGGACAGGACCCCTCTGGTCAGATATGGCTGTCCTTGGGTCACACTGGGAAGGGGAGATCCCCCATGCAGTGGGCTCATTTCAGCCCGTGGGGACAGATCCCCCAAGTTTGATTTAGCCAGGAGAACCCCACTGTCTTGCCTGCCTGAAGAGGCCATAGATGAAACCATTAAAACAATGAAACAGAACAGCAGGAGCTCAGAAAGGATGGGGAAAAAATAGCTAATTTTATCAGTGCAGACATTTCTTTGTTTCCCAGGAACCCAGGAGAATGAGAGGCTGGAAGACAAGGAGTAATTAGCTATGGCTGAATTATTGATGAGAGCAGCAGCACAAGTTGGAAAGAGTTCCAGTGGTGGCAGAAGGCTGGGCAGCCATCCGTGCTGCCGGGGTGGCTGGAGGGGAGTGTGACACTGCTGCAGCAGGGCTGTGGGCAGCTGTGCCCCCCACAGCACAGCCCGGCAGGGCTGCAAGCCTCGTGCTGCAGCCTGCACTCGCCTCCTCTGCGTCCTGCCCAGCACCTGTGTGAGCTCCCCGGGCTGCCAGCAGGAGCTTTCCTGCCCGAGGAGCTCCGTGGGCACTCAGCTCCCGTGGCCGCCCCAGCGCTCACCTGAGCAGTGCTTCTGCAGGCGCAGGATCTCCAGGTGCAGGTCATGGAGCAGCTCCATCTGCTCCTTCTTCAGGAAAGCGATGTGCCGCTGCACACTCTGGATCTGGTGCTCCAGGGACACGGTCTCCATCGCAACCAAATTCACAGTCCAGTCCTGCAGGGAGTGGAGATGGCTGGTGATCAAACGTGCAGCAGCGCGCTGCGCTTGCGAGCCCCAGCCCCGGAGCCCTGTGAGGGGCAGAGCCCGTCACAGAGCTGCAGGGTGGTGCCTTCTCTCCTCAGCCCTCTCCACGGGGACTGTGGCTGTGGGCAAAGCAGCCCTGCTCAGCTGATGCCCTCAGCATGGGAATGGCCTCAGCCCTCTCACCTTCCAGCACCTCTGGGGCCGGCTCCTGTCCTGCCTGCTCTGCGAATGCACAGGCAGAAAACCCTGCTGCATGAGCCCTGGCATCATAGCATGCATGTCTGTTCTGAATTTGGCCCTAGGAAATACTTTATCACTGCCTGTGATGCATCTGGGACAGGATTGCTCCTCGTTGTCCCCAGGTGGGAGTTGCACCAGAGACGATTTTGGCTCTCACTTGACAAGCCCCACATTACACAGCAGCAACTGCAGCGAGCGATCCAGCACATGAAAAATACAATATGCTCTGTCTAACCCGATCAGCACTGCATGGCTAGGAGAGTCACGTTCTCTTCCAGGAGAAGGAACATCTTCCCTGGCAATTTTCCTGGCAGACAGGAGCTGCTGGCAGGCTGTGCCAGGCAGCCGAGCTGGGCTGGGGGTCTGTCCCCACGGCATCAGTGGCTGTGGCAAAGCAGCTGCAAAAGCCACCCACCTGTGCTGCTGCACAGAGAGATAAAAATAACTCCTGAAAGAGCCCTTTATCCCAGGAAGTACCATTTTGTGGTATGTGGAATCTGTCCTTGCTCCCTACACACAGCCCAGAAGGAGGGAAGCTGCAGCAAATCAAGGTAACCTGGCAGAGTGGCTGGACTCAATGACCTCAGAGGTTTTTCCAACCTATGGGGAGATGCTGTGCCACAAGCCTGAGGGATGGAGTGCATCATCCTGTCCCTGGTCAGCTGCTTCCCACATCTGACTCCAGTTTTCTCTCTACAGAAACTGCAGAACCAAGCGGGCACTGTGGCTCACTGTTCCAGCACCCCTGGCATGGTCACGTAGGGCATTTTGCAATTCCAGCACCCGGAATGCATTTAAGATCAATCCCTCAGTGGTCTTGGCAGTGCCCCAGGGTCAAAGCTTTGTTCCTGCCAAAGGCTCTGTAGATTTGTGACAACTCTACAGTCAGGTCTCCACGTTCCTGTATTTGATGAGGTGGGGGGTGCAGGCTGGCTGGGGACAGCTGAGCACCCAACCAAAGTGCATTGTCCTGTAGTTGTCCTTATGGAAGGTGTCAAACCCAGCTGTGCCAGGGGGCTGGGGCTGGCTGGGCCATCCTCCTTGGAGGGCCATATGTCCTGATGCCAGTGCAAGAGTTATGGGAGTTATCTGGCATCTGCCAGAGACCAGGAATGCAAACCACACCATGGGTTCATCCTCCTGCCAGCCCTGGCCGTGGTGGGCTGAGCTTATGGGAGTTGTGTTCCTCATCTCAGGAAACATCAGAAAATAGGTTGGCCAAAGCCCAGGGGACACACACTGCTATTTTCAAGCACTTTGTTCTGTCGAGTAGAAATATCTTTAGTAGAAATGGCTGCAAATTTTCCATTGAACTTTCTCTTCTCCCCTTAAGTAGGAAATTACTCTTTTTTTTTTTCTTTTAACCCATGAAAATATTTTGCTTTAAAAATAGTTGATAGATTTCAAGCTGCAAAAAAAGTCAAAGAAAAAAATCTAGAATTAAGATCAGTTTGTTGTCTCTGATTTGGAAGCAAAGAGCCTTCATAATTCACCTGTGTATGCGGGAAGAGAAGTCTGTCTCCAGAATTGCAATGGGAAATCCTTAGTGGGTTTGAATCAGCTTTGCCTGTCCAACATGACTTTCATGTTTTCTCTTGAGAAGCAGCTCTCAGCTTGTGGCAGGAACATCTGAAGCCCCACATGAGGGAGCGAGCACCTTGTTTTGTTTAGCCACGAACCTCCCACCAGTACTAAGGGCATGGAGCAGGGCAGGGGTGGGACACAGAGGCAAGCAGGGCCGGAGCTGCCTTCAGTGGAAATGAGGACAATGCTGGAAACAGTCGTGCTGTAGCCCAAGAGCAGTGAGGGGAAGAGCTCTCCGGGGGTTCCAGGGACGCGAGGCTGCTTCTGCTCACCATCTGCAGCCCCATGGGAGGGCCGTGTTGTCCCCTCTGCAGGTCACACAGCTCTGCCTCACAGGTGATGATGCAAGAGTCAGAGCTGTTAAGGAAGGTGCAATCTCATCCTGAGGCTTCGGTAACACCAGTGTTGGAGTGTCCCTAACTTTACCAGAGGGCAGCAGATGAGCATTTGCGTCACCGAGGCAGGGTCCACCTTTTACCCCAAAGGAGTTCAGAACCAAACTCTCAACAGCTGGTATCCTCTCTCCAATGCTTCTGAAGGCAAGTGGGATTGCAGCAGCCTCCTGAGCCTTTGTTTTGATGTGTGCCTTCTGTCATTTCACACAGTTCGATCCTGGGCAGTGTTGGGAGTTAATAAGGATTAACTGCTGCTGCTGCTGGCTGATTTAACACTTACAGGGTCACCGCAGCTCCCAGCTGGTAACACCAAAACTCCCTGTGCCCAGGGCTTCAGAACACCCACAGTGGTGATGACCAGAAGCCTGTGCAGTGAACCATGGCAGGGACTTTCAGCCTGTGCCACAGACACGAGAGCCAAAGCACAGTGAGTGGGGCTGTCCTTCCCACCGGCTCCTCCTGCCCCAGCTGGTGACTGTGGCTCCCAAAAGGAAGGTTGTACTGCAGTGAATAGGGACAGGGTTGGGTGTCCCCACTCTGATCCCTCCCTGGCTGCTGTAGCCATTACTTCTTTCCAGACTGGTTCTAAGATGCCAAGGCAACTGGTGGTGGAAGCTCTCACAGGGACCATGTACTCTGATTTTGACGAGCTACGTATGAGGTTACAACCCTAGAAAACAATGTTATTCGTAATAAAAGCCAAAAGTGATAGTAGTCCTCTTTAGCTTGAAGGATGCTCTGTGCCCTTGTGCTTCTGAGAGCTGTACATGTGCACACACAGCAGCAAAGGAGGCAGCAGCCAGCTGAGCAGTGTGGTTTGCCCCAAATCAAAGGTGACTCCTGCAGCCTGAGCTGGCCCCTGCTCCGTGCAGAGCTCTGGATAAACAGCTCCTCCAGTTTTGGGGACTGGACGTCCACAGGGCTTTGCTCCACCATCGCGAGCTTTCCAGGAACGAGGTTCCCTTGCTGATCCCCCAAGATTTTGAGCACAGAACTGAGGAGGCGGCAGTGGGCTCAGCCCCCTCCAGTTCCCCACATGGAGTGACCGTGGGCATGGTCTCGACTGCTGAGCCTTCCTGTGCACCTGCTCTAAACCATGGCTTTTTTCCACACTTCTTGTGCGTTCACTATGCAACCATGACCTTTGGCAGAAGCATACTGGGAGTCCTGATCTCTGCTGCTTCTTTCAAAGTCCTGGTGGAAAACCCCAGTGAGATTTACAATTTCATCCCAGTTTATCAAATTCTTATTTCGCAAACCAAAATGACTGAAGCAGCCTCTTGGAGCAGCTACAATGACCAATTCAAGTCAACCAAGAGCTGATTTCCTTTGCTCAGACAGGTTGATTGAGAGTTTGCTTCCAGGGCAAAAGTCTGCTTAAGTCTGCTGTTCAATGTAAATCAGAATCCCAAAACTTTGACCCAAGAAAAGCCCTCCATCCCAATGATGCATCTGAAAGGGAGATGCAGTATTGCATATCCACGTACCTCTGTACACACACCGTCACACCATGGTCTGGCCCTTTTCTGTGATTATTATTCCCCATAAATGGCAAATTAGCTGGGAGTCAGGGGGCATGAGGTTTGCAGGAGCAGGTCGATAATTTGTCCTGCTGTGGCTGCCAGCAACCCTTCTCCATCACATTGAAACATACGCAGGAATAAACACTGATACACACTAGAAATCCATAGTGCTTGGTATTTACAGCTCAAAGAATACAAACTGCAACCGTGCCACTAAGATAGTGTATCTTTAAATGTAAGGAAATCAGGCAAGCAAGAAGCCCAGAAACTTGCAGAAGGTCACAGAGGCAGTGGCGATGCCAGGAATAGAAACCAGAGGTGAAATCCCGGCCTTGGAAAAGTCAGTGGGAAACCTTCCCTGATCTCAGCAGAGGCAGAATTACACTCGGAGTGCTGTTTGCTATTCATTATCTGTCAGTATCTATTTACAGATAAAATCAATACAGATGGTGATTATAAATTATTGTTTCTTGCAATTCTCTGAGCACAACCGCCTGAGGAAAAGCCCCAGCGACGCTTGTCGGGGGGCTGGGGGAGGCTGAAGGCCAGCCCGTGCTTTCTGCTCCCGGCTCCGAGGGAATTCGCTATGGATGCAGCTCTGCTCCGGGAGCGGAACCGGGCCATCGCGGCCGCTCGGGCCAATGCTCCTCCTGATCCGGGGAGCCGCGGTGCCGCCCGCACGCCGGGGCTTGGCGGCGCCGCTGCCCGGTGCCGGTCCCGGCTCCGCAGCGGGCGGCAGAGCCCGGCAGCGCTCGGGGGGCCCGCGGGGACGGGCAGCGCCCGCGGGGTCACCTACCGGGAGCAGCCGCTTCCACAGCGGGCACGGCGGGGCCGCGGGCAACTTGTGCGGGGCCGCCCCGCAGCCCGGGGACCCCGCCCGCCCCGCAGCCCG